CAATCAGGAACTGGACTACGAGTGGTGTAGAGAGAGAGAGAGAGAGAGAGATGCCTTGATATTTGTTTTGCACTGTTATTATTATTATGCTATAAGGGATTAGTTCTGGACCATTTACACAATACAATAGGAATATTGTCGTATAATTTATATAATGCTAGCTTATCAGGGGTATCGGTGCTTAACCCCTTACAGTATTAATAATAATACATTTTTACAGAATATTCTTTAAACCTAATAACAAAATTTTTTTTATAATAAGAATATTTTTATATGGGCATGGTAGCTAGCAATAATTAAATTAATATGATATTTATACATGGTATAAGACTATTATTGTGTTAGGTAGGGTCAACATACCCTACCCCTCTGACATGCCTATGCCCTCGATATAAATCAAATACTACTCGTTTTTACAACAGTACAGTATATCTCACTTAACAGTTATAATAATAACGATTTCCAGAGTTATGGACAATTTCAGGGCACCGGGAGATATATGTTTTTGAAATATCAGTGCCATATATGGGAGTGATGTATGATTTTTATTTAATGCCTTTTTTCTACACCACTCGTCGTATATTTACACCTCTATTGACGGATAATAAATGTTATGTTTGTCTAACAGTTAGTGTTAATAGTGTACTGACATATGAAATAATACTTAACGTAATTATGTAGTGTCACCAATAATGAACTACAATTATATCAAGCACAGTTAGGAGTTATTAAGTAATATGGATAAATTATATCTTGTATTATATTAATGGTTAGTAAATATTGTCGTAAAATGCAATTTAGCTAGCTATTACTGTAAGTATTATATTATATTATATTATATGCAGGTTTATATTATACAGTACAATTCAATTGAAAGATTTTTATTTAAAAATTATGTTGGTAATTAAATTCTATTTTATTAAACTTTAAATATTTACAATATTGATTGTACTGGCATACTTAAATTAATTGAGTTATAGTTTATTGATTAAATTCAATTATCATATTAGTGTAAATTTAATTATAACGTACAAATATGGTAGAAAAATAAAATACAATTTTTCTATCATGGCTAACATGATTTTAATTTGAATGTTAAATTTATTAGCAACTGTAACCGCAATATTGATGTAAATATAAATACCTTATTAAGTATGTAATTAATAATTTTATTGATAGTCCTAAATCACTTGGTATTTTTTATTGTGTATTACAAAATTATCAATATGGTACAATCCAAAAATATAACAATTTTAAAAATAATATTATTTTACCTTGTAATCTATTTAAAAATTATAATTAATTTGACATAAATAGGTAGTCCTCCGCCGACACTGCACTGGTATAAGGACACCACAATGATCGACGGCTCCTACATCATCGACTCCCGGGGCTGGGCTCACAACGACCTCATCATCTATAGGCTGTCCGCCTATGACTTAAATGCGGTGTTTAGTTGTCAGGCAAACAATTTCCTTAACCACAGCCAACCCATACGCTCGTCGTTTTCCATTGATATTAACTGTACGTATGGAACAACACCTCAGAAATTAGCCTTTGGTCACTAATTGTTGACAAACCTGACCTCCCGTCCCCCTTATCCCACAGTAAATCCCGTAAGTGTTAACATAGTATCCGAAAAGAGTATCCTATCGGCCGGTCGTAAAGTAGAGATCGTTTGCCAAACAAAAGGTAATTATTTTTAAAATATTAAAAATGTGCTAAAACTGGTGCTAATGGATGACCTCCCGTTCCCCTCGTTTGTAGGCTCCCGACCCCCGGCGGTGATCATATGGTTTAAAAATAATAAACAGTTAACGCATTCACAGTATGTATGAGTGGTTTGACGTAAATGTTTGGGAAGTTTATGCGGTTTTCGGATATATTTCAGGGAAAGTGTGTCGAGCGATGGCAACACTACCACAAGTGTACTGAATCTGATGCCAACACTGGCCGACAATAACGCCCTATTGGTCTGTAGGGCACAAAATCTGCGCCTACAGTCGGGTCCACACAAGTATGCGGAGGACGGCTGGGAATTGCAAGTCTATTGTGAGTCATATTTTTTAATTAAAATATTTTAAATGTTATTATTTGTAATTTATGAGTGACTTGGGTGTCCATGGTTAGCTATAAACTATTAAGAACTGTAACTATAAAATAGGTGATATTAGTAAATGGTTATAAATATTATAATTTGTAACAATTTTGGCTATGTTTTAACTATATTTATCGTAATTTTAATGATAAACACATTTATTTTTAATGACTTATTACATAAAATTATATAGTATACTGTGCAGTAAAATTAATATCCTCTAATAACTAATGAAATAATACATATAATTATTGTTTAAAACACAAAGTTTAAATATCATACATAAGTCTAACCGTATTAATCTAGGCCCTAGATTCTAGGGTATTTTATAACTTATAGTATAAAATTTATACAGTATATTAGATAATGTTGAATTATTAAGAAACTGTAACATAGTAATTAATGAGATTATTAATGAGTTATAAATCATACAGTTTTAAAAATTTTGGAATGTAAGGAATGTTATATTTTAATTAAAAAATATACTCTAGGTCCTAATATTTTTTTCATTATTAATTTCATAATAAAAAAGTTATATAAAAGTATATACATTTAATTGAATAACACTATTCACTAATAAAGTGTACGAACAGTCCGACATACTATCAATTTATTCAGAGCACTGGT